GCTGGGAGAAGGAGAGAAGGGAAGGAAGAAGAGGGAATTTTTTTAGAGAAATGGGGGTTTCCCCCGTTTTTCACTTCTCTGATTTTAAAATTACCGACTAAAGTTGGTCGGTAATTTTGGTCGGTACATTAAGTGCTGACCGTTTAACCAAAAACCGACCAACTTTGGTCGGTTTTTTTTTTTAAAAAAATTTAAAATCTTTAACCGACCAACGTTGGTCGGTAATTTTAAATATAAATTCTTAAATATTATAAAATATTTAAGAATAATAAAATAATTATTAAAATTTAAAAAACTGAATCCAAATTACCGACCAACGTTGGTCGGTAATCCAAAATTTTCTTGTCTGACCAGCTATTGATCAATTTACCGACCAACGTTGGTCGGTATTTTGTTTAAAAAAAATGTAAATATTTTTTTTCTTAGTTTGCATCCAACCTGGACGGTTTTTGGTCGCATTTTTTGACCGACCAACGTTGGTCGGTATTTTGTTTAAAAAAAATGTAAATATTTTTTTTCTTAGTTTGCATCCAACCTGGACGGTTTTTGGTCGCATTTTTTGACCGACCAACGTTGGTCGGAAATAGTTGGTCGGTTTTTAGCAGATTTTTAGTAGTGATCAGAAACACCAGCGTAGATTGGATTGTGGGTTTTATAAACTGCACATATGCGGCATCTCCACTTTAGGCAAAATTTCTAGCGCTGAAACAAAGCCTTCAAATTGCTCTGAAAATACAACTACAACCACTAGAGATTGAAACAGACTCAACGGAGGTGATTAAATTAATAAAAGAAGGTAATGAAGTATTTAACGATCTTATTTATGACTGCAGGTTGTTAATGTTGCAACTAAAACACCTGACGATTAGACACACCTTCCGTCAAGGAAATGCAGTCGCACACATATTAGCAAAGGAAGCTTCCCATCAGTCCAAGTTGAACAAGATTACCCTCTTTGCAAGGCCTTCCATTTTTGTTAACTATGCACTGGAAAAAGATAAACTTAGCGGTGTTATTTTTGTTAAGCACTTATCTAATAATGCATGTAATATGCTAGCAAGTCTAGGTAATCTAAATGTTCTAAGTGACATCACTATGAATTGTAATATGGTGGAACCAGTTTAGTATTAATTTAATGTTTCTATTTTCTAAAAAATATATTTTATACAACAATCTAATATATTTACAATAACGAAATATTTTGGATGATATATCTAGTTATGACATAACAAAAAATAATACTTCATCTTACATGCATTCGTGCTTAGAAATACTACTCGTAGCCGATTCGGGAGAAACACACTGTGAGCACGTAATTTTTACTCTATGCGTAAAATACTCGTAAAAATAGTCCAAATTAGTTTTAGTTATTTTATAGGATTTTAGGAATTTTCCTCTATTTTTATTTTTATTGGTTTCACATTTATTTGCATATTTTCATGCATACATAGAAATACTTTAAATCAAAATGACAAAAATACTTCTATTTTTATTTTGTTGCATTTTAGCACTTTAATTGCATTTTTAGGATTTAATTATATCGTTAGATGCATGGTTAATACATGAAAATCATAAAAATACATTGGTCGTTCTTGTTTTTGTTTTTGCATTTTTAGGTTCAATTGATCAGTTGATTAATTAATCATCAGATAAAATAGATAGTTGGATTGATTTTGCAAGATTAAGTTTGAAATTAGATCATTAATTTAGATAGGTTAATTGTATAAAGGCAAAGAAGAAGGTTTGGGTCCATTGTGACCTTAAGGGCAGAAATTGGGCCATCCCCTTCGGCCCAGTTTAATAACACCCGCCCCAACCCTATTATCTACCCGGTCCAGTCCCATTTAATCCCAAACGGCCCCGTTTAGTCCTCAAACGACCCCGCCCCAAGTCAAAGAGTCAACAATCAAATCTTGGCCGTTCATTTATCTTTATCCAACGACCAGGAACTGGCCTCCCTTTCCCATATAACTGTCGTAACAGCCTCCCCTACCCTCCAAAACCCTCTCAGACCGTCTCTCACCCTCTCTCTCATCCTTCGCCTCTCTCCGCCGTAAACCATCGGCCGGAAATCATCACCGCCGACTGGAATTGTCCAAATAACCTCAAACCACCACCAATCAACTCCATTTATCCTCCTCTGTCCCGTCCCACTAAGATCGAACCTCCATTCTCGTCTCATTACGATTAAAACCAAACCCTAGCCACCCATTGTCCCCTTTCGATTTCTCGTTCAATCTATGGTCATAACCGGTCAGAATCGACATCATTCAATAGATTTTGATAAGATCTATTGATTGATGTCAATTTCGACAGGTTTCAGTGAAGGCCGATGTCAGTCAACCCACCGTTGACTGGCCAGATTTCAATCTTATCCATTTGTCGCCGGAGTTTCTGTTATTGGCCGTCTGTTTGAGCTAGAGGGTATATCTTGTCTCCCGTTTCTGTTATACTTTCACTTATCCCTTTTTTTATTTTTTGATTCTAAATCATCTATGCCTAAATCAACTAAAGCCTGATTTATTTGGTTAGTTGTTTAATTGTTAATCGAGCATAATTGTTTGTTAGCCATTGCACACATGTTTTGCTATTGTTTTTTATTTTTTATTGTTTCATCACATGAACAGATATCAGTGAGCATCCTTACGTGCTTCATTCCATTTTAGTTTTTTAAAGTTTGTTTGATTATAGATTTTTGGTTTATTAGAGATTAAATTAGGATGTTGAAGTAATTTCGGGTTTCAATTTAGTGAGGCATAGGCCTTCGAAGGTTTGGAATAACTTATTTTGGATTTTTAGTATGTGTGGGGTGGATTAGGAAACAGGCCAAGATGTAGTCCCAATTCGAGTTGATCTTAGGAGCAAGGTAAGATATGAAAGAATAGTAAATACAGGGGAGAAAATGGGGTATTTAAGGCAATTAAACTGAGGGAATATTTGCTGTTAACTGATTTAGAAGCTTCTAGGAGGGAAGAGAAAGGACTGAAAAGCAATAAAACGGTGAAATTAGGTCAAATGAGGGACTGGGGGAGTAAAATAAAGAAAATAAAAGGTACTAAAAAGAAAGAGAAATAACAGAAAAATGTAGCTCCCATTCTGCTATAAGAGAAGTACATTCCCTCATGATTACTCACGCATTCACTGATTATTCTCACCAATTCACTATCAATACACTCTCTCTCTCTCACGTTTAGAGGGAGCTAAATTTGAGATAAAAATTTCAGTTCTGAAGAACAAAAATACTCCAGAAAATCACAACAAAAACAAAAAAATATATTTTAAAAGTGCTTCCTAAATTCTGTCAATTCACTTTAACATTTTTCTGGGTTTCAAGCTGATTTTGGGTCAAATTTGAAGTTGTTTCTCTGCTTGGATTTGCTGTTTTCTCGATTAGCTGAGCTCTAACTCTAGTTGATTTCAGCCTTTATTTGGCAACTTGCCATTTATTTTTCTGCTGCTAAGGTACTTGTTTAATCTCAATTAATGTAGTCTGCAATGATTTTTCCCTTTGTTGAATGCTTCTTGCATATGGATCATAATTCTGAATTAATATTGAAAACAGTTGATGTAACTATCACCTACAGCCTGCTGTGGACTCGATTAACAGTAAACATATATAAAATTGAGTTCGATTCTGTGATTTGTATTTCGATTTCTACTTGTTAATCTGTTGTTTGTTAATAGAAATTAGTGATATCAAGTTGCCAGATCAAAACTGAGTTTGTTTATTACTTGAACTAGAAATATAAATATTTTTATCATATGTTGGTTGGTGTTGCAGATTCAACTAGCTCATGAATTTGACCACCAGTTGGTCAAATGCATTAGTTAGAGGTCTCAAAGTTAAATTGAGCAATTCTAAATTCATTGTGATAGGCATGGATGATTAGAAACGAAGATTTGGGATACATTTGGTTCTAAGAGATCTATTAAGAATTCATAATTGTATTTGGTAGAACAGTAATCTTAATGTAATAATTTTTTGAATCACATAAGAGCTAAATTTCTTTTAGTATTGCGATCCAGTTTACAATGTAGAAATCAATTGTATGTGTGATCTTGAAGATGGCAGTCTTCATTGTGTTTCACTGATCTTTACAGTTTGAGTTTTGTTATTAGGCCTGGGTGCCATGACAGGCCCATCTCGGGTTCTCTTGTAAATTAAGAGCACTGGAGGTTTATGTAGGGTCTGGCCACGTGAAATCTACCAGGCCCAAGCCCCACACAAGGATTTCGATTTGGGATCCCATTTGGCCTGTAGTAACAAGATGTAATAGTTTTGAATTTAATTTCCTTTCTCTTCCGTGACTTTCTGTTGAACAACCTTAAATTGTAAATAATTTAGAGTTAGATTTAGCTTAATTTCCTCTCCATATACTCTATCATCCCTAAAATGTAATCAAGGTCACAGTGGTCACGTATTTATTCTAGGAGCTTTAAAAAATGAAGAATGCATCCTTGTGCAATATACCTAGTGACCAAGATATCATCTTTCAAATAATGTTCATAATAGCTAGACCTCCACAGCAACCCCAAACCTAGGAAGACAAACTTGAAAATTCGTAGAATGCTTTAGGAATATTTTAATCGATTATCGTGATTCTGTACACGTTCACGAGATATGATTATGATCCAAGAATAAATTAAAGTACGCGTTCGCGCGACTTTGGCCATACAATCTTAATAATAATAAAGTTCTATTAATTGTATACACGTACGTGTGACATGATTTTGTCACAATAGATAAAACGGATTCAAGCACACGTGGTTCGTTTCAAAATAATTCCATAACGCCATAATCAAGTAATTAAAATGCGGTAAAAGCTCACATAGGTTCTAAAAATACATAATTAACAAATAATCAAGCTAAGTTATGATTATAAAGGCAGTTGATGAGGTATTCAATTTTCTTATGGTTCAAAGTTGATTATGAGATTTTCGTAGTGTTTCGAGTTAGCATATTAGAGGTGGTGCGCCGTGTGGGGTTGAACGTTGCAAGTACAAGGTTGCAGTTTAGTTGTGGAGGTAAGGACATGAGTTCTTGATGACATGGACGATTCCAGATGTGTATGAGGATGTGGGTACTATTTGATATCGCCGGAGGAGAGTGCGCATGTTGGCAGGTGCATTGTGTTTTGACTTGTGGGTATTTTATGTAAGATGATGGAGTATGAGTAACGTATCAACCATTTGAGTAGCGGTGTTGAGATTGAATATGAAGATTCTAGTATTCGTGAGGTTCAGAGACTAGTTGTTCTCATTGGCACACTATTTCTTGATTGCGAATTGTGATGAAATATTGAGGATTGGATGATTGATGGTAGGTGTTATGGAAAAGTTACTATGGACTTTTGGAAGGTTAATTACCTGTTTGGGGATGATCGGAATTTGGTTTGGGGATTATTTTTGAACCTAATGAGAATGTGTATTCTGTATCGGATCAGATTTGCATGCTCTTGCACAGCTGTTATCACATGTATATCATCGGGCATAATGGATGTTATTTGCGCCTTGGTCTATGTTATGTGTTTCTCTCTTATGCTATGACGGATGGCGAAGGTTACATGATTTTTCGCACGCATATTGTAAATTATTTTAGGCCTTATGGAGTTATGGGCAAGGAGGCCCTCGTAATGTTGACTTTCTTATTGCACCATAGTTCTGGTTGCCTTTCTCAGTGTTGTTTATGCCTAATTATTTTTCCACAGTTATATTTTGTGCACTCTATTGTGCTTGATGTGACGCATATGTGATTAGTGAGCCCGAGCATTATGACTCGATAGGTACCCCTATATGGATTAATATGATTGGATCGAGTTGCGATGGTAATGTGATGAGATGTAACTCCTTATACTTATTTTGTGTATTTTGCTTTCACTTTGTTGAAAGTAGTTCATAGGAAAATGTTAAAATTACCCTGTCTGCTTAACTTGCTTAGTAGCCTTCTTATTTAACTTTCTTACTATTATCTGCCATGTCTGAATTATTACTTTTTTGGCGTATGGAATCGCATTGTGTGGGGGCTCCACGTGTTTTTTAGTGAGACTTGTCGGTTGGGCTGCTTTTATTGGCTGAGATGAGGTTTCTAGACCTGAGATTTGCACTATGTATTGGGATAAGGAATGTTTGGCAGAATGATACCATATTTCCGATAAGAATTTGGGAAATGGCCTTGGTCGGACGAGTGAGATTCTTGGATTATTGATCAGATGAGTGGTTAAGAGATTCTGCGTGTTTCTTTCATCATCATTAGTGTACGAAGGTTTTGAATGAGGTTTTATTTGATATGAGGTTTACTACCGGTACCGGATTTGCTTTTGAGAAGCTATGGTGGTCAACAGTTCTTGATGTGAGTATCTAAATTATGTGGTGCATTATGTGATTACATCTTGGGTTATGGTTATGTCTTGATACAACTTGTTCAGACTTGTACAGTGCGTAGATGCGAGATTCGGGTCTTGTGGTGAATCCCGAATGTTGGAAATTGGGTTCTAAGGTTTACAGACTAAGGTTGAAGTAAGGATCTTCAGTTATGTTGTGTTGGCAGGCTTATATGGAGCGGGGTGATGTGGGATCACCACCGGGTATGTGCATGGTAAGGTTACACCGTGATTGATGGCCTTGGAACAACTCTTGGCACGTTTGAGGACGAACGTATGTTTAGGTGGGGGAGGATGTAACGACCTGAGCGGTCATTTTGAGCATTTGCATTCTATTCGGCTATTTGAAGTCTTGAGTAATTTCATATGACGTATTATGACTTGTGTCAATCGTTGGTTTGGTTTTCAGGTGATTCGGGATCGATTCAGAAGAAGGATTCTCATGTTAGAAGCTTTGAGTTGGAAGAGTTGACCATGTTTGACTTTTGTGTATTTGACCCCGAATCGGAGTTTTGATGGTTCCGTTAGGTCTGTGTGATGATTTTGGACTTAAATGTATTCCCAGATTTGCATTTGGATATTTCTTGAAGGTTTTGGCGTTAATTGGTGAAAGTTAGCAATTTAGAGTTTTGGAATGTTCATAAGTTTGACTGAAAGTTGACTTTGATGATATTGGGTTCGGATTTTGGTTCCGGGAGTTGGAATAGGTTCGTTATGTCATTTGGAACTTGTGTGCCAAATTTGAGGTAATTCGAGTTGATTTGATATGGCTCAGCACGAGTTTTGGAAGTTGAAAGTTCAAAAGTTCATTTAACTCGATTTGAGGTGCGATTAGTGATTTTGATGTTGTTATGTGAGATTTGAGGCCACGAGTAGGTCCGTAATTTATTTTTGGACTTGTTGGTATGTTTGGACGGGGTCCCGAGGGGCTCGGGTGAGTTTCAGGGTGGTTTCGGATCATTCCAGGTTGGCTTGGAGTTGCTAGTTTCTGCTGGTTGCTGATATCTCTGTTGTTCTTCGCGATCGCGTAGTGATGTATGGAACTGGGGGATTTTCTTCATCGCGTTCGCGACAGGTCGACCGCGTTTGTGTGGAGTTGGGGCAAGTCTTCTCCGCGTTCGCGAATGCTGGATCGCGATCGCGAATGCTGGATCGCGATCGCGAATGCTGGATCGCAATCGCGTTGTATGAACTGGGAGCTGGAGCTAGAGGCCTTCTTCATCGTGTTCGCATATAAGGAGTCGTGTTTGCTAAGTTCTGAGTCAGCTGTGAGTCGCGTTCACGAGGAATATGCCGCGAATGCGAAGTGTAATCTGGTGGCAGTCGCGTTTGTGCTTCGCAATCACAAAAGGATTTTCGCGATCGTGATAAGTATTTCTGTTCAGTGGTTATAAGTACTCTTTTGCGAAACTAGAGTCATTTTTATCATATTTTGAGTTATGGAACTCAGGTTTGGGCAAATGTGGAGGTTATTTTCACAACATAGATTGGGGTAAGTGTTTTCTACTCGATTTTGAGTATATTTCGTGATTCCATCTTCGTTTTTGGCATTTGATTGATGATTTCAAAAGAGAAATTGGGGGGTTTTGTCTAAACTTTTCTAAAGTGAAGTTTTGAGTTTTGAACATCGATTCGGAGTTGGAACTGAGTGAAATTAGTATGGTTGGACTTGTAAATAAATGGGTTGTCGGATTTTATGAGTTTTGTCGGGTTTTGAGGTACGAACCCGGGTTTGACTTTTTGGTTGGCTTTGAGTAAATATGTAAATATTCGACCTTTATCGATTGGGTTTGCTTACTATGGCCTTATTTGATGATTTTGAGTTGCTGTTGGCTAGTTTCGAGCCGCTCGGAGGATGATTTGAGCGGGATGGCATTTCTAGTGTATCGATTTAGCTTGTTTGAGATAAGTGTCTTGCCTAACTTTGTTGGGGGAATGCGAAGTGTAATCTGGTGGCAGTCGCGTCTGTACTTCGCGATCGCGAAGGGATTCCCGCTATCGCGATGAGTATTTCTGTTCAATGGTTATAAGTACTCTATTTTCGGACCTTGAGTCATTTTATCATATTTTGAGTTATGGAGCTCGGATTTGGGCGATGTTTTAGGCGATTTTTACCACATGGATTGGGGTAAGTATTTTGTACTCGGTTTTGATTATATTTCGTGATTCCATCTTCGTTTTTGGCATTTGATTGATGATTTTAAAAGAAAAATTGGAGGGTTTTGTCTAAACTTTCCTAAAGTGAATTTATGAGTTTTGAATATCGATTCGGAGTTGGAATTGAGTGAAATTAGTATGGTTGGACTCGTAAATAAATGGGTTGTCGGATGTTGTGAGTTTTGTCTGGTTCTGAGGTGCGGGCCTGTCGCGCCCCTTTCTCTCGCAAAATCGGGTTTCAACGTTGACAACTCTTTTAAAAGGAAGGGTTATTAAAAGAGAGTCGCCACCTAACGGATTAAGGCGCATTAGGGCACCTATATTGCAAATGACTCGGGTTTACTAGTTTGCGTCACCAAAGATCGGGTAAGGGCTCAAATTACCTCGAGGAGAAGGTGTTAGGCACTCCTCGAGGTCCACAACGGTGGGTCCCGACCGAACTCAAAACATGTAAATTAGTTTAAGAGAAAAGAAACAATTGACAAATGAAATAAACGATTTATTTTAAAACAGAAATGGGGGGGTCCTAAGTTTTTAGCCTAAAGGATCACCCCGTGCAACATAAATAATACTTCGTAACTCCCTCAAGATGGGGTGTTACTCATATTATTCAGCGGGCACAGACTATCATCTCCTGCTACCCGATTACTATCTTTAAGTTGTTTACCTAAAGCGCTCTATTTGATTCTAAGTCGTACCCTATGCGTGCACTACCCGTCCCATGCCTATAGTCCATGAGGTATTTGGACCTCTATTTCAGGGTGGTTCTAGAATTTAACTTAGGTTGCTCAAAAAGAGAAAATTAGGTGACATATAAAACATTTAGGACTTTCAAATAGGAACAAGTATGAGCTCAAATTAGCCTCCGCATTTAAACAACAAATGCACGCAATCTGATCAGCATTAGCAAGTTTTATTAATTACAAAATCC